TAATGGTCTGGACTTATAGGGTTATAAGTGATATATTTCTTCCTCAGTGGTACTCAAAGCGCTTTAAAGTGCTTTTCTTACACATTAATGGCGGCAGAGCTTTCATGTCATCTGTAGAAATTCAGGGTTCAGTGTTTTGCCGACCGCTTACTCAGAGGGAGTGCAAAGCCAACTTTGGATTGTTGGGTTCTCTGTTTGAGGTCCTCACCTGCTGTGTTAAGCGCTGTGAGATGACAAATGTCGTGAACTGTGCCATATAAACAAAACTGAATTGACTTGAACTGAAATTGCCCAAGGACACTTTGACATGTGGGGGGGATCAAACTACCAACCATGCGGTCAGTGGACAACCTGCTGTACCACCTGATCCACAGCTGCCCAGGTTCAGACGTCTCTGAGGTCTCTCTCCTCCTTCATGTTGTTCTGGTTCCACAGAGCTGCAGGACTTCATGTAGCAGAGAAACATGAACCTCAGTGAAGGAACATGAGACAGGAACTGATCTCTGATGGTTAACATCATGTCTGCCAGTCCAACCTGTTTCCACACCTCCAGATGACTGAGGTCACCTGTCCTGTGTGTCTCCAGGTGAACGCCATCCCCCTGAAGTCATCCTGGGTGATGACCTGTGCGTACGCTCCTTCAGGTAACCTGGTCGCCTGCGGCGGTCTGGACAACATGTGCTCCATCTACAATTTGAAGGGCAAAGACGGGAACGTGAAGGTGATGCGGGAGCTGGCAGCGCACACAGGTGGGTTTGGGTTGGACATGGACATTAAACCTGCTCCTGTCCAGAGTTATTCACTCACAGGTGTTTGCTCCACAGGTTACCTGTCCTGCTGCCGCTTCCTGAGCGACAGCGAGATCATCACCAGCTCCGGAGACTGTACCTGGTAAGAACACACCTGAGGCTGTTGCAGCTTCTCTCTGGGTCCAGACTGAAACTGTTCTGTCCTTCCAGCGTTCTGTGGGACATCGAGACAGGAACCCAGAAGACGGTGTTTGCTGGACATCAGGGCGACTGCATGTCTCTGGCTGTTTCTCCAGATTTCAAGTTCTTCATCTCAGGAGCCTGCGACTTCACGGCCAAGCTGTGGGATATCAGGGAGGCAAGCTGCAGGCAGACGTTTGGAGGCCACGAGAGCGACATCAACGCTATTGGGGTGAGAAGCAGGGAGACATGGAGGCTCCTCCGTCTTTCTGACAAAGGACGGTTCTGGTTAGTTAAAGGACAAGATGAGACAAGATGAAGGGAGAACAGACAGGATTAACTTTATCGTCCCAAACGGGAAGCTTCCCAGGCAGCCATACAAACCCTTCAGCTCTGTACAGCTGCAGACAACACGAAGAAAACACAACCAGGTAGAGAACAAGCCGTACATGCTTTAAACCAGGTATTAAAGCATTTCTATCTAAAGGACACTTACATCCTGTACTAACCGTATTGGCCTGATGTACAACAGGAATGACGCCAGAAGAACTAACACCAGGATCCACAGATGAACACTGTGGGTCAGTGTTCAGACTGAGCTGAAGTCTTCCTGTGTTTTACTTTAACCCTTCAGCTCTTTCTAACATTTTACTAAGCAAATGTATTTTTAGTTTTTCTGCTCTGTTGCTCGTGTCCCAGGAAGCTGAGCAGGTTCAGCCACTGAGGAGCTGACGGCCAGTTTAGGGATGTTGGGCTTTGAACTCTCAACCTTGTGATCAGTAGCCCAAAGCCTGAACCGCTGATCCAGAACCACCCAGAACTGTGTGCTCCTGCTAACCCCAACCTGGAATAACCTTCAGAATAATCTGAAGTGTCACGATTTTTCATCCTCTGTGTTTCTAATTTCATTTTATTTTACTTCTAGTTCTTCTTGTTTCGGCTGATTAGTCTGTTTTTGCATTTTAAATGCTCTAATTATTATTTTGCAAACCTTGCCTTGTTGTATTTTTACTGAGGTTCTGGATTCTTGTCTCTCTGATCCATTCTGTAAATGAAGCCTCCAGACCTCCATGTGTCTCCATGTGAATAAATAAAGGTTGAATGAATCATTTCCTCCTCAGTTCCTAACCTGCTCTCCGTCCTCCAGTTCTTCCCAAACGGTAACGCCGTGATCACCGGTTCTGATGATGCCACCTGTAAACTGTACGACCTGCGGGCCGACCAGGAGCTCATCACCTACCAGGACTCCGGCATCATGTGTGGCGTCACCTCGCTGGCTCCATCAGTGTCCGGACGCCTCCTGCTCGCCGGATACGACGACTTCAACGTCAACATCTGGGACGCTCTGAAGGCCGAGAGAGTTGGTGAGTCAGAGAAGCAGGAGGATGAATTCTTCCGCTGAGGAACTGAGGGAATCTCATTCCTGTGATTCAGTGCAGTTTGTTGGAGGGACATAATTTTATCAGCAGTTATCTGAACTCAACTAATTTTTTGAAGCATCTGAAGCTTTGGCGAGGCGTTTGGTGGCTCTGTTCTCACCTGCCCTGTTCTTGCTCAGGTGTGCTGGCGGGTCACGACAACAGAGTGAGCTGCATCGGCGTGTCGTCAGACGGGATGGCGTGTTGCACCGGATCCTGGGACAGTTTCCTGAAGATCTGGAACTGAGGCAGCAGCCGACAGCGGGAAGCTTCTGAGGAGGGAAGAAGATAAAGTTTGAGGGAGGGATGAGGGTGAGAAGAAGGTTTTTAACTGTGCCAAGATGTTGGAGAGGTTCTAATCTCACCTTTCTTCTCTGGGGGGGGGGGGGGGGTCTCAGAAAAGATCATTCCTGTCAATAGTTAAACTGATAAAACATGCACATTAATGCAGCAGGTGACCAGTTGCCAAACAACGGTAGAACACTGATGAAGGTGTGAAGTTCCAGCCGGTGGAGACTCACACCAACAACAACATGTTTTATATCAGACTTATGAATAACTTGAGCTTTTCTGTTTCCAACTGTTGTTTGTTCGTAGTTAGATTCCTTAGACGCTTACAGTTATGTCCTGTTCTTTTTCTAACTTTCATTAACATGGAGTGATAGTTTGCAGACGTTTAGTGTGTTTCGTATGTGATTGATGGATTCTGGGTGTCATTATTTGGCCGAACCCCCCAGTAGCTGAACAGACGGATAATACCATGCTTTCATGGTTCACGGAGCTTTTAGAAGATGACCTACTTGTCTCAGGACAGACTCTTTGTTGAGTGTTAGCTGGATGATAGCGGCTGAATGTTAGTTTCCCTCTGCAGAAGGACGGCTGGTGTACATACAGACGATAAACTAGAGTTTAGACCAAATCCTCTGATTCACTCTGTGCAAAATAAAGCAATAATAAACTTGGGGTTCTGCATCACTACAGTGTTCAGTGTGGGTTTCTAATGCGCTGACTTCAGTGTTGTTTCTGTCTTTCAATCCATCATTTAATTATGGACTAAAACACGAAACGCTGCTGAAACAGTACATTCAAAACTTTTCTGTAGAAACTGGACGTCTGATGAAAACAGACAAACTGAGCAGCTGTGGTCCAAATCAAACGGAGATCAAACTACACGGGACTAAACAGGACCGCTGTGATGATGCCCATGAAACACCTTCTGTGTTCACAAACTGAACTTCCTTTAATCATCGACCTTCAGCTTCTTTGACTTTCATGAGTTTCCATCAGAGTTGCACCTCATCAGCAGGTAAACGTGTCAAAGTTCTTTTCGTTAAACACGAACTCGGCTGCAGTTTGTGTTATTCAGAGTTTTCACATCAAGATTTTAATTTTTGCTGCAAATGTTGATCAATATCAAGTTATTGATCTTCTTGATTATCAATAGTTTGTTATTATTGTGATCATCTGTTAATCAGAGTGAC